ATTTGAGAAAAAAAAGACTTTTTTCTAGACAATATATTATGTACACATGTGACGTAGTTTACAAAGTTTACTTCTTCCCCCTAAATAATGTATTTCAGGTTTGGGACCACACGCTGCTTTTCATGGAATAGCATGAACGCGTCTCATTGAAGGTTCCATGATGACCGCCATATGATCACATCTTCAAAATGTTTACACATCTTCGGATGTTCCTAAATTCAAAATTTCGCTATTTTCAAGTTTATATGTTGAATTTTGCTAAAACCGGTGCTGTGGAGAGGCGTGGACGGTATAGCTTGGACTTTCCAGTACAGCCCACGAACAAGTTCAATCAAAAAGAGAAAATAAGAGTATGAAACATTTTCAATTTTGCCGTCTTGGGCGTTCTTAAGGGGGTCTTTTTATTTTTATTTTATTTTAGTTATTTCTTTTATATTTTTTTTTATGTATATTATGGTACTAATTATACATATCACAAACAAAAGTATATCTGGCAAATATATAAAATGTGATCAACAAGGAAGGGCGGCGCCGAATCAACGCAACCCCCAAACGACCCAGCAAAAAGAACCAGCATTAAGGAGCCCTGGAGGACCCCAAACCGAAATAGGAGAGGGTGCAAGGCAGATCACGCACATGATAACCACATATATGATACTTAAAAAAGAAATAATCACCTTCTCACATCTTATCGTGTTCAGAAAATGGCGTCACACAACTTATGAAATTCTAACTAATGAGATACTTTACAATAAATACATCAAACCCTACTTAAAACCAATTTGAAATTAAGAAGACTCGCTTATTGAACTGAATTTGCAAGATTGTAAAATTAGTTTTAATATACATCTAATGATTAAAATGATTGCAGAATATGTACCACAGTAAAAATCCTCTATCAACGGGCTTAAATTAAAGTGGTTCTAATTGCGGGATGATTTCTTTATATGATATTGTTATCAAGGATGTTTCTAAATTTTAAATTTTGCCATTTTCATTGATGAATTCTGCTTAAGCCGATGCTGGGGGTATGGGCGGTAGCTTACCTGAAGTCATATGGTAGAACTACAATGTCCTTTCAATGCGTATTAACGAGATTATTATGAGGCAGAGGTATTCTGATTGCCTTTATTGTTTTTTTCCGTAAAGGTACACCTACGTAAGCAGTTTTTTATGCAGGAATAACAACTAAAGGATTACAGTTTAGTAAGGCATGTGGCCTTATGCTTTATTGAATTCGATTTACTAATTATACCTTTTCAATCAAACTGAGCCTGCAACATTTTCAGTTATACCGTTTTGTGCGTTCTATAGGGTTTTACTATTTATACGAGGAACGCACATATACATTACCCTTAATTCATTTGGTAACGCTACTTGTGAGATTTGTACTTATAAATTAAAGATCAAGCAAAAGTGTTAAATCTAAAACATTGCAGATACACTTAAAAAACGATTTGTGTGTCCATCAGTGTTCCAATTTGTAAAGTGCAAACAGTGAACCATATAACAAGAGGGGTAATTCACAAATTCCTTTACAAACTGTACTTTTTAGCTCGGCTATTCGATAAGAATAAGTAGAGCTATTGTAGTCACCCGAGCGTCGGCGTCGGCGTCGGTGTCGGCGTCGGCGTCGGCGTAACCACTTATGTTAAAGTTTTTGTAATAGTTCAAATATTTTCAAAGTCCATTGACATATGGCTTTGAAACTTTGCACACTTGTTCACCATAATGACCCCAACCTGTAGACAGGAGGAGGTAACTCTATCAAGCATTTTGACAGAATTATGCCCCTTTTTCGACTTAGAATTTACGTTAAAGTTTTTGTAATAGTTCAAATATTTTCAAAGTCCATTGACTTATGGCTTTGAAACTTTGCACACTTGTTCATCATCATGACCCCAACCTGTAGACAGGGGAGGGAACTGTATCAATCATTTTCACAGAATTATGCCCCTTTTTCGACTTAGAATTTACGTTAAAGTTTTTGTAATACCTCAAATATTTTCAAAGTCCATTGATATATGGCTTTGAAACTTTGCACACTTGTTCACCATCATGACCCCAACCTGTAGACAGGAGGAGGTAAGTCTATCAAGCATTTTGACAGAATTATGCCCCTTTTTTACTTCGAATTTACGTTAAAGTTTTTGTAATAGTTCAAATATTTTCAAAGTCCATTGATATATGGCTTTGAAACTTTGAACACTTGTTCACCATCATGACCCCAACCTGTAGACATGAGGAGGTAACTCTATCAAGCATTTTGACAGAATTATGCCCCTTTTTTTGACTTAGAATTTATGTTTAAGTTTCTGTAATACCTCAAATATTTTCAAAGTCCATAGACATATTGCTTTGAAACTTTGCACACTTGTTCACCATCATGACCCCAACCTGTAAACAGGAGGAGGTAACTGTATCAAGCATTTTTTTTTACTATCAAGCACTAAGAATAGTCGAGCGTTGCTGTCCTACCGACAGCTCTTGTTTAAAATTTAGAATGGACAAAACTCAACACAAAATGTCGATTATGATGACATGAATGATGCACCATACGCTCAGCCATTTAAACATTCATGCGAATTTTAATATAATAGCAATTAAGATCTTGAATATTTTATTATAGATAGATTTTTTTCTTGAACATGTTGAAGATCAAAGGATCAAAACTTCAGTTACACACAGGTTTACGGCGATGAAATTTAATTTGAATCATGTCTTATGCATATTAATTAATATGTTGATATTGAGTATATCAGTACTTAGATAACTAATATTTCTTTAATAATGTATAATTTAGGTTACCAATGTGCATTAACTTAATAATGCATGGTTAATGGTTAGATCCTTGACAGTATTTAATATTTTCTATTATTAAAATATACAGCCATGCAGTTTAATTACAATATAATAAACAAGTTCAGGGTTAAGATATTTTTCTTCAACAATGTCTTCAAATAAGCATTAAAACATCATAATTCAGTGACCTATGGATAGTTTTGGTGGCATTTGCTTAACCCCATTTCCTTAGTCATATATACATTCACGCCGAAGTTCATTTAAGGAAGGACGGGTGAACGGCAATGATATGTCATTTATATAATATTATTATATTGTGCTTTTTATCATATTAATTATTCAACCTTTTTCATAGAAAAAGTTAATCAAGGAAATTTGAAAAAAGAGTGCCAAATAAATGATATCAAAACGTTTCTGTTCTCTCGATTACGGGTTTATACGAAGTAGAGACGGTTTTCAGAATGGCTGTTGCAGACAGCTGTTTGGAACGGAACATGTGAAGCAAGACAAAACACAAACAGGTCATTTTTTATGTAAACATTCATTATCACTATTATTTCTGCATTAAAGCCTTAATTGGTGTGATTTAATTTATCTTAAGCCAATTAATGTCTTTTACTTTTATTCTATGGTTCTGATATCTTCATCTAGTAAAGTTTTATTTTAATGCAAAATATAAAATGACTAATACATATTTAGAAAATATTTTCTTAAAATTTATCCCATTTATAAACAATGAATTAAGACGTAAGCAAAATATCATCTGGAAAATAATAATTTAATTCAATGACATATATTTTGAGGGGGGAAATAGGACCGGATTGACCAATTGAGCATACGTTTGACACTGTATCAAGACAAAAATAAAGTTAAGTCAATGCTAATACTGTCTGAAACGTAAAGCTAATACAGACGATGCTATATCAAAATGTCAAACAAAACCTGCGAAATTACTGTCGACACATTAAATCAGTAAAAAAAATAATATAAATAACTAAATAAAAACTGTCTAAAATTTACTTATCCTAGACGGGGACTTTCAAATATATACTGTATTACTATTATTATTATTCTTCATCTTCTTGGTACGAAGGACTGAGTAAGTCACTGAAGCGCAAACTTCAAGTAGCTCAAAATAAGGTTGTGCGCTTTATAAAAGACTACACTCCTAGGACTTCAGTGACAAATAAGGTTCTGTCCGATCTTAAATTATTAAATGTCAATGATAGAGTTAGACAGTTAAGACTCAACCACATTCATAAAGTTTATTACAACAAAAGCCCTTCTTATTTAAATGAATTGTTTAAGGTTTGTAGAATATCCAATTTAAGATCCAGTAATTTTAATTTTGTTTTACCTCAAAATGATTCTTATGTTAAAAATACATTTTTCTACAATGCCATTAAAGACTGGAATTCTTTACCAGACAACATTAGATCAATTGACAATATCCAAACATTTAAAACGAAAGTAAAACTTTTTTTAAGTAATGAAAATGATAAACAAGTGAATAATATGTTTATTTATTATTAAATTGATGTGTAACTTATGATAAGGTTTTTGAAAATGTGTATGTGGTACTTGATATGTTTTAGTTTAAAAGAAATTATTTCATTTTGTTTGTGTACAATGTACTTGTCTTATTATATTGAAAAATGTGTTTTGATTATTGAAAATTGTCATTAAGTTTAACTTCTTTATAACTCATTTATTATTATGTAAGTCAGTGTAATAATTTTACAGAAAATGGACCCCATTGGAAATAAGCTTTTAGCTTAATGGGCAATCCTAGGGTTACATAGAACATACTTATTAATTAATCTTATAGTTATTTTTGTGCATTTATGTGTGTGTTTTTATATATATGCAAGTTGATATCTGTGATAAAATTGTATGTGTATACATGTATGTCTATTCCCTGAATAAATCGATACTAATTCTATTAGAAAGACCCTGTCTGAGGTAATGACTAAAAGTAATTCTGCCCAATAGATAATTAAACGAAAATGCTTCAAAATTACCTCTTCCAAAGAAAAATAACGGTGAAAATATTAGATATAATCATTTTTGAATAGATATACTAGTCTTATTTTCATATCAATCAAAAACACGCTCTTTCAAGGGTTTTTCAATTTCTTTTGGGTAGTTTTAACAATCAGTGGTTTTCTGAATATTTTCAATATAATAAACCAGTCGTATCTTTCCAGGAAGTGGAAATTTGCCAATTATCAACTCAGAGAAAACGTTAGTTTTTGATGCTTTAATACAAGCAGGTTCTTTAAAGTGGTGTGATATCATTAATAAGATTATATTAGTACAGTTGTAACAGGCAATTCATTGAATTAAGGCAAATTGATAACCGGAGGTAGGCGGTATAGATGGATACCGAAAATAAGCTATTTTCGCGAAAATAAGATCGCGCTACGAAAATAAGATTTATTTTTGAAATAGTGCATTTATCTGTTGAAATAATTATGTAAGTTATATATTTATGCATTCTTTGCATGATTTCACAGCAAACTAAATTTTTAGAACCAAAAAAAATATATAAAAAAGTACAGTTTGAGCCGAAAATACATACGTACGAATATAGCTCAAATCGCCGTGTGAAAAAAGAAAACCCAGAAACAAAGACTACTGTCTACTGTATATAGAATATATGTACGAAAATAAAATCTATACAGCTAGTACTCTACGAAAATAAGATCTGTAAGTATGAAAATTATGTACATACGAAAATAAGGTTATACGAAAACAAGATCTCTTAGTAAATAATACCTGTATGAAAATAATATATGTATGAAAATACTTATACTTGCACGAAAATAGGATCCAATTGAAAATCATGATGATCTATACGAAAATAAGATCTGTAAACAATTAAAACCCTTATGAATTGATATTTGTACGAAAACAAGATCTAATTGAAAATATGATTTTTGCCAAAATAAGATATATATACGAAAATGAGCTATATTAAAAATACCTTCATGAAAATACTATATGTGCGAAAATAAGATCCTATTGAAAATGTGATCTATACGAAAATAAGATCTATAAAAAAATTACTGTATGAATTGATATATCTGCACGAAAATAAGATCTCTGCAAACATAAAATCTGTATGAAAATAATGTTTTCAACTAAGATTTTTACAAATATTTTATAAGGTCTGTGAATATGAAATACGAAAATGATACAAATGTATGTGTATGAACATAATATCTGTTTCAGAATGATACGAAAAAATGATCAAAATCTGTAAATAATAGGATATCTAGCTATATGAAAATAAAATATCAATATGGAAATGATTTATACCAAAATAAAAGATAATTTAAAATACGTGTAATATAAAAATAATATCTATATTTAGTAAAAGATCAGTATATAGCTTTGTTGCTTTAGTGCTTTAATAAGATAATGCACGGACAAGATGAGAAGGAAAAAATTATACAACGTATGACACGTGCACATGGCTGTCGGCAGCAATCAATGCGCTAATACGATGATTGGATTATTGGATTTTCGCACACGATCTTATTAATGCCCATCATTAAAGGTGTTTATTGGCGATTTATCACAGTCACCAATCATATCAAAATATAGAATGATGTCTTAATTTTTTTTACAGATTTTGTTATCATACAGATATATAAAGATATTATTTTTATTTCACAGATCTTACATTTGTAAAAATCTTGTCGAATACAAACATTATTTTCATACAAATCTTATTTTCGTATAGATTTATTTTCAATAGGATCTTATTTTCGTAAATATAGTATTTCCATACAGGTTTTATATTCAAATAATTATCAATTCATACAGATTTTAATTGGTTTTACAGACCTTATTTACTAATAGAACTTATTTTCGTAACCTTATTTTCGTATTTACATTATTTTCATACAGCTTTTGTTTCCTTACAGATCTTTTTTTCGTAGAGTACTGTTTAGATTTTATTTTCGTATGGTACACATTCTTATATAGATTTAGATCCTATTTTCGTAGTCGTTGTTTCAGGTTATTTTTGCACTTGTTTTTTCTTATATTTTGATACTTTTTTCACCACAAACATTTCTTATCTTATAAGAGAACATTCTTAAAATTTATTTGCAAAATCATTAAAAATAAAGTTAATACTATTTTTAATATAAGTTATGAACCATGTAAATCTTATATAGCCTATATTTTGGTTATATGTTCATGCGTTCTTTCTATACTAAATTTGGAATATTTACGTACCGATTTATATGTATTTACCATGTTTGCCGCACAGACGTCTAATATTTCATTACAAAACATTTCATTCTTTATTATTTCATTCATACAAATCATTTGATAACACCAAAAAATACGTTTTAATACATTATATCAAAGATAAATCTTATTTTTGTAGACCTGATCTTATTTTCGCTTTACACGGCAACTTGGAGAGCTTGGTCGCTTTCCTTTATCTGTTATCTGTAAAGAACGTGCTCTTAAATACTGGTTAAATATAATGAAATATCCAGGGTCATTAGTACATACAATATTTTTGGAACAATGTGCTTTGTTACCTTATAATACCATGTCTACTTGGTCATCGTCTGTTAAAAAACAACTTGATAGTCTTGGATATAGCTACTTATGGAATTCTATAAACCTTGATATGAATTATTTGCCAATGTTAAAAAAACAAAGGCTGCGTGATCAGTACTTTCAAACATGGAATGATACAATAATGAATCAATCTAAGTTATATTATTATAGAAAATTCAAATGTGAGTTTAAATATGAAAAGTATCTAGATATTGTTACAAATGAGCATCAAAGAAAAGAATTGTCTCGTTTTAGACTCTGTTCCCATCTTCTTGAAATTGAAAGTGGTAGATTTGCAGGTATTGATCGAAACCTACGAACTTGTAAACTTTGTTCACTTAATGTTGAATCTGAATATCATTTTTTGTTATGCTGTCCACTCTATAGAAACCTTCGTCGAAAATATGATGTTAATTATTCTTTTCCATGCATTAATAAATTTACTAGATTATTGTCTTCAAATAATAATAGAACTATTAGGAATATTGCCAAATTTGTATTTTATGCTATGCATTTGAGAAATGAAAAACTTGCAATTATTGCTGCTTCTTAGGTTCTTGTTTTATAACTGTATTGTATTATTGTATTTATGTTAAATGTAAATTGTATTATCTGGGCCATCCTTTTGTATATTGTAAATGGCCAAAGTTATATTGTATATGCCGATTTGCCAATAAACTGAAACTGATATTTTGGGCTCAAACTTCACATTTTATAATATTTTGTTTTGTTTCTGAAATTTATTATTTCATTCATACTAATCAATTATTAACAACAAAAATACGTTTTAATACATTATATCAAAGATAAATCTTTTATTTTCGTAGACCCGATCTTATTTTCGCTTTATACGGCAATTTGAGCCATTTTCATACGATGGTATTTTGGGCTCAAACTTCACATTTTATAATATTTTTTTTGTTTCTGAAATTTATTATTTCATTCATACAATTCAATTATTAACAACAAAAAATACGTTTTTAATACATTATATCAAATATAAATCTTATTTTCGAAGACCCGATCTTATTTTCGCTTTACACGGCAATTTGAGCTATTTTTGCACGATAGTATTTTCGGCTCAAACTTCACTTTTTTAAATTTTTTTTTTTGGTTCTGAAATTTTATTTGCTGTTAAATCATTCAATGAATGCATAAATATATATTTTACATAATTATTTCAACAGATAAATGCACTATTTCAAAAATAAATCTTATTTTCGTAGCCGATCTTATTTTCGCGAAAATAGCTTATTTTCGGTATCCATCTATACCCGGAGGTAGGTCATTATCCTTCACCTGTTCACTGATTTGACTGAATCACTCGGTATTACAAATTAAAGGGATCTGTCATTAATTATGATTTTACCCTGTATTATTTTTTCAATATAGTTATGTTTCTTTACAAAATCACTCAGATTTTTTCCAGGGTTAGTGTTATGGGTTAGGATGAGGGAATAGAGTTAGGATTTTAAAAACACTGATTCTGCTAGAGACAGATTCTAAAAGTGCTCCCCAATGTTAACATTCATGTTTTCTTTTCAAAATTATTTGGTTGTTTCTAATATTCAACAGTATTGTCCATTATCATGTCTAGGACTTTGTGACAATTATTGAGAGTTATGCCCCATCCATAAAAGTTTTATATAGAGTTTTTTACCTGTAAATACTTCAAATATTTATATTGTCAATGTATCTAAAATTGCGTTGTATATACCTGTAGGATACCTGTAGGATGATTCTGGGCTCTGATGGAAGGACCAAACCCTTTTTAAGCCCCTCTTCTTTTGACAATCTTTCACTACTTCTTCTTATTGGTCTCATCACTTCTATGTTTAAACATATACACTTATACCCATTTCTGTTCACATAGTCCTAATTATAAGACCTATACGTAACCTATTTCATATTTATCATTCATTAATCTGATATTTTACATTTTTCATTTTCCATGTTACGTTAGGTCTTAACAGATCTTTGCAAAATCGTGTAGCAAAAAAATTGACATTAGACATCGATTTAGATCTAATGAATTTAAACAATTAAAACAGCGTGTATTTACATTAATTTTGACCTATTTATGAACAAAACTAAAAAATAAATACCTTTAAACAAAATAATTGAACTGTCACAACCGAAAAGTCATGATTAAATCCTCTCATTTAATTAAATTCTTTGTACAGCTGATATACAAATGGCCGCCATACAGTGCGCGAAATCTGATTGGCTAATTCAAATGCAAGCGTTTAAATGAGTCCAGAAGTTTCTAACGGAATATTTTTTCAACGAAATAATTGCCCATGCACCGTCAGTGTGTTCAAATATATTTTTCCGTTCAAAAAATTGGAATCAATCTGTAAAACGCTTTACTTAACCAGTATGGCCGATGAGCGAAATAGACTGATATTTATATTTTATTTTTAATTGATAAGTACATTGTTTTAAAGTTTTTGTTAATGATAGACCATGCAATTGAAAGAACAGAAGATAAGCTTTTGAATAAAGCTTGAAAGGCAAGTCAACAGACATTTTTTTAATTTTTCAAAATGCTACGCGTTTTTGAGCAATAACTATTAGACGGCTTGACCAACATAAAACTATAACAAGCCTGTAACGTCTAATCTATTGGACTACTGTTCACACTGCTGTATAATACACCCATAAACACTTTTCATATGAACTACGTATATAACCGAGGTATATCGAGTGAAAAACGTACGAGTTGTTTCCCTTATCTTCGAGTAAAATTTGTATCTCTTACGCTAAAACAATACAAATTAAGCCATTTTTAAACCGCTAGTAATAGTATGTTGTGATTAAATGTCGGATTTTAAAATTATTACATCAATGGAAAGCTTGGGATCTTAGCATTGTCACAGACTCACAGTATATAATTTTACATATCTTTTGACACCAAAGTATTTAAATTAACTGTGAAACCTACCATATGTCAGCCCATTTTACATACAATTTATACAGTAAGATACGCAACCTGTTATCGTTACTCGAAAACCTAATGATAAGAATAGCCTGTTGTCTGCTAGTTGTGGAAAGTGTTTATCGGTGTATGATTAACATCATAATTTTTCAATAGATAACATTTTAAACTTTATATGGAGTGTCTCTGGTCCAGTGTTGGTCTAGCTTTATTTTAAATTCATAAACACTTTTTGAGTCTACTATATTTTTTGGCAAATTATTCCATGTTTTAATTACATGTCTTGAAAACTGATGTAGGCAATGAGTTGTTCTACTACGAGGCAATGCTAGTTTTAAATTATGTCCCCTTGTTGATGCCGAATAACTAAAAAAAATTTCAAAAACACAGTCATGTATTGATGTAAGCCTTTAAATTTCACTGATTTTGTTTACACTTGGATAATCTCGTAAAATCTCGTCGCACATGCCTGACAATGGCGCACTATTTCTTGCAAAATGTTTCAACATCTGTTTCATGTTTCAAACCATCACAGATCACATAAAAATGGGCAGTTTATTGTTTATTTTCTAATAGGTATAAAAAAAACATGTTTTTAATTAAGCCCAAATATCTACCTTATAAGTAATCAATTTTTATTAACTAAGAAAAGTTTGTCAAACAATTCCCACTTTCAAAAATTTCTTCAAGATGTGGAGGTCAATCAGCCATGCTTTATTTCCCCCAAAACAAGGCTATGAAGATTATCATTATATCTATTGATTGATTTTGGATACCAATATCAGATAATGCAAAAGTTTCATTTCCTACACATGTTTAGATTAAAATGTGCAAGCAGTTGACCTACTTGAATCTTTTACCAGAAATGAGGGTCATAAGGGGAGATGAAAATCGAATTCATCCGCTATTTTAGGTTTTTACTACTTCTTACATGTTTACAAAATAAAACTTTAAATAAGAAAAAAATCAACATTATTCAGAAAAATTGATATTTTTCCGTTTAAAGTGACTGGAATTTTTGTCATGTGAACTGATTTGACCTACAATGACATAATTGTAGTTGTCCGCGAATTAACATACAGTTGCAATATGGCGGCTGTCATGACAGACGCTTATTGTGTCGCCTTGAAAAGGTGACATATAGGGGTTACTTTTGTCGGCGGTGTCGGCGGCGGCGGCGTCTGTGTCGGCGTCGTTGTCGTTGTCGGTGTCGGCGTCGGCGTCCGCTAAAGCTTGTCCGGAGCATAACTCAGTCACTATAAGTCTGATTGACTTCAAACTTGGTATGCATGCTTCTTTCAATAACCCGAAGTGCAGTGCACAAGGACCGGTACTCTGCAGTTCTTATTTTTTGAGTTATTGCCCTTTGTTAATTTTCATACTTTAATTTTGTCCGGGCCATTTCTCTTCAACTAAAAAAGCTATGGACTTGAAACTTCACAGGATGATAGATCTCATTAAGAAGAAATGCAGTGCACAAGAACCAGTACTCTGCACTTCCTAATTTTTGAGTTATTGCCCTTTGTTAATTTTCATACTTTATTTTTGTCCGGGCCATTTCTCCTAATGTATAAAAGCCATGGACTTGAAACTTCATAGGATGATAGGTCTCATTAAGAAGAAGTGCAGTGCACAAGAACTGGTACTCTGCATTTCTTACTTTTTGAGTTATTGCCCTTTGTTTATTTTCATACTTAATATTTGTCCAAGCCATTTCTCTGAAAGTATAAAAATTATGGACTTGAAACTTCATAGGATGATAGATTTCATTAAAAAGAAGTGCAGTGCATAAGAACTGATACTCAGCATTTCTTATTTTTGAGTTATTGCCCTTTGTTGCTTTTCTTACTTTATTTTTGTCCTGGTCATTTTTCCTCAAGTATGAAAGCTATGGACTTGAAACATCATAGAATGATAGATCTTATTGATAAGAAGTGCAGTGTTCAGAAACTGCTGCTCTGCACTTATTATTTTTTTAGTTATTGCCCTTTGTTATTTTTCATATTTCATTTTTGTCCTGGCCATTTCCCCTAAACTACATTGTTCACAAGGCGACACATCCGACTCGCGGAGTTCTAGTTATTTAAAGTTACCACTCACGTAACCACTGACAAATACGAGTGTAAGTTGGTGAAACTTGAACTGACTTGAAATTGAAAAAGGCCAAATGTAATCATACATTATGTGCATAATTTATTATATATCCACATTATTTCTCACGTATGTGCCAAATACTGCGAATATATATCAGTCAAGGATATATTTATGTTAAATTTGAAAATAATTGAAGTCGATGAACAAATCAATGACAAGTTTACAGTTTTCACTTTTTACGAAAATGTCAAAGTCATCATTAAAGGATGAAACTCGTCTATTACCATATTGAATGTAAACAATCAATTTAAATACTGAACTCACTAACTCTGCAGATTTTAGTATTAATTTTTTAAACTAAAAGAGCAATTTTAAATACCAATGAATTTATGTACTGACCAAAAATAGACCTGATTATAATATAGACCTGAGTAATGGCAGTGTAAATCATGCAAACTAAATTTTATCTACACTGGATTTCCCCACACACTTTAAGATTTTCAACACCAGTGCGATTTAATTTAAGAATGAGATACACATGATAACTGAAATATGTCAACTGAATTTTCAGCTGGATGTAGGGGCTCAAAACTGGATTTTTTATTGACAGGAATTTCAATGTGTCTCAACTATAATATAGTTATTGTCATTGTATATATACATATGTTAACATTAACATTCTAATTTCTATGTAATAAATATTAAATCTAAATACGCGTTGCTCTTAAAAATTATCTAGGGCCCTGCTTATAGCATCTTCCCATATGAAAGATATCAGAGATCCTTTGTTTTTTTATTATCATTCTTTATTTGCATATAAGCAGGGTCTTTCAAATAGATTCTATTTGAAAGACCCTTATATAAGCATTACATTTTTGCTTATTATTCATAGTGCTGCTGCATTGCTAATGTTCTCTATTTTCGTATCTAATTTTAGATCATGCTGAGGATAATGAGTTGACACAAGATTTCAGGATGGTATTTTTGGCTGTAGTGCTTGGTGCAGCAGTGCTTTGCTGCAGTGTTTTACTTGTGTTTGGGTGTGTTTGTCACCTTTTCAAGCGTCATGGGTTTACAGTGCGTATTATTTTACTGTAATTTTTTGATTTTGATTAAATATTACTTTTTTAGTTAAAACACAAGCAGTAATCATGATTGAATTAATGGTCTTTTTAAGTAGAAATAGATCTTGAGTGAAAAACTTCATGAAATCACTTACCTGCATGTATTTAAAAGTACTTTATGACAATTTTTTTTTAAAGATTCAAAATAAAGCAAGATGATTATTATGTGATAAAAGTTCTTATATCATTTCACAAAATAACACATAACACAAAAATTGAAATGCATCTGAAATAATACCACACTGCATGGGATTCGAACCACAGGTTAAAGTCAAACTAAAACAACACTTTAGATAACTTAGCCAAGTAATCAATGCCCAGAAGAAGGTATCAGAAGTTTGTATTTACAGTTAGCGCAGTTGGTGTGCATTCATACATAACAAAGAAATGACTGTTGTTTTTTTCTTCTATGTTTAGAACTTTGAAGATGAAGAAAGTGTGCGAGATGTTTCCATGTATCCAACTAATGAAAGTGTTCATGATAGTTCAAATGTAACCTTTGAACCATTACCTGATATATTGGCAAAAACATTAAGCAGTCGAGCTCTGCGGCCCAGAATTACCTGCACAGACAAAGAGAAACAATCAGCTGCTGCCAAGCTAGTCAGTGAGTGCTTACAAAAAAGTTTAATTCATTCATTTATTTATTGGCAATCAGCAATACAGTTGCCTTTGGCCATTTACAAACAAACAAAAAACTTATGGCAAAGACTATTATATACATAACTAACATATTCAAATAATGAAGTACAATATACGATCAGAAGACAGGTAAACTTTCAAGGGTATTTTGACGTAAACACAATGCTTCTTTTATATACTTAGCTAGATTAAACATATATTTTTTACTTTTATTTGACATCAATGCATTGAACTTTTGTAAAGTTGGCCATGAACACTGGCCCAAATATTTTGATCTAATACTACTGTAACGTGAGCAACACATAACAAAATGATATTCTGACTCTACTGCATTTTGGTTACATAGTTTGCACAATCTATTACTTCTTTCAATATTATTATATCTTCCTAATTCTATATCTAAACTATGAGAGCACAATCTTAAGCATGTCAAATGCTGCCTTAGCTTATCATTCAATATAACATCCAAGTACTTTTCAAAACAAAATTCAGTTTTATATTTGCAATAACAATCTAATTTTGACATAGAATTAATATTTAAACTCCATTCTTGAATAAATTGATCTTGTATTCTAGATTTTATCAAAAGGTAATAATTAACCCTAGGATCAAATGTCAACCTTATATCTGAAAAACCTAAATGATCTATAATAGAATTCATTCTACTAGCCCAACTAGAGGTACTTACATTATTACATAAATCATTAAACATTTGATAAATAGGTAAATCATTACTTTTCATAATTTTCAACCAAAATTTAATGCTTCTTTCTTTACATATAACTGACAGAGGCACTCGGCCGAGTTCACCATATACCGCATATGTAGGAGTTTGTTTCTTCACGCCTAATATATATTTACAAAATCGAATATGTAATTTATCTACCTCTTTATAATTATAAGCACCCCAAACTTCACATCCATACGTTAATATAGGGACAATCATAGTATCAAAAAGAGATAACTTGGTACGAATATCTAGACTAACATTATCAAAAACGTTTAAAAGATTATTATACGCCCTAAGATGATGATTCATTATGATATAAAGCAATTCTATTTGCAATACTGAAAATTACTACGATGTTTCCATCAATTGTAAACAGGCATAGAGCTGATAAATCTATTAAAATTAAATCAGGTAAACATATAATTGTGATGCATAGAAATGGTCTTTATTTTGAACAGGAATGAAACTGTGAAGTATTATTGATTGTTTAGAATTGAGTAAATAACAAAGATAATAAATAAGGCATATTTATATAAAATTGTTTTTCTCTAGTTACTCATTTATAAAAAAATCTTGTTTGTTCTTTTGAATAAAACAATATTTTTGAATACATATTACCCTAAGCCAACAGATCAATTTGTTGCATGTTATTATATCCCAATATGTGACAAGTTACCACTAGCCTATTGATGTATGATTGTATTCTGATACCAAGTGTTGTTACAGGGTGCTGTTGTTTGTCGGAAATGCAAGTGTTTAATAAGACCAATTATAATTATGGTAAAATATAAGAAGTAAAATGAAACGTAGTATTATTATTCCCGTCCAGAGATAGGGAAGAATAACAAGATATAGGATTATCTCTATGATGAGTTGCATAAATACATTTATTTGGGTATTTTCCCTTGAATTAAAATTTTTTGAAAGACAAGATGCTGATATTATGTACTATATTACAATCACTTATTTGGAATGTAGGCTGTGATTGGTGACTATTGCAGATGTTTTATTTTTATAAAAAAATATCCTTTGTGCCTTTTGATTTTAAGCTTTAAATTGATTAGAAACACTTACCATATATATTTTTATGTGATTATATTGTGTGTATATATTAATTGCACGTTAACAAGAAAAAATACATTTGTATTCAAATGTTAGTCTAGAAAATAAAGTTTTGTTCTTTATACTATGTTAAAAGTTAAAACTGTTTTTAAATTATTGTACAATTTTTTTTTTCTTCTTTCAGCAATTTATAAAACATTTCCAAGGAATCAACTTTTGTATATTAAGGAGATTGGACTTGGATGGTTTGGACAGGTAACTCTATCCATGTTATTGATATATGATTATAAGAAAAACTATATATTTTTATTGACATTAATCAGATTTTTCAACACTTAAAATACCGCCTCCGTGGTCGAGGGGTTAGAGTCGATGACTTCTAATCCAGTTACCTCTCTGGTATGGTTTTGATAGTTAAGCTCGGAGGAAGGTAGTCTAGTACTGGTGTAACTCTCCAGGAACGGTGGTTAGGAAACTACCCGCTTATATGACTGCAATACTGTTAGGAAAAGGCGTAAAAATGAAACAAACAAACAAAAAAACAACACGAAAAAGGGAAAACTTCTAAAAAGTCATTACATCATTGCTATCATAACCCCATGACATGAATTTATAATTAAATATTGATTATTTGCAGCTACTGATAGTTGAATTAGATATTGGTATAATTCCTAATATGCAATTATTTTGATAGGTTCTTCAAGGAAGTGCAGAGAATATTTTACCAGACAGTCGACACATCAAGGTTGTTGTTAAAATTCTGAAAGATGATGCCACAGCCAATGAAAAGGCTCTATTTCTGGAAGAAGTTGCGCCTTACAGGTTTGTAAAGAATTTTTTTTTTTCAAATATATATTTTATATATATTTTCCATGTAGGTCAGTAGTGAAATTCACATTATATCAAAATAGGATATTGTGTCCATCCAAGTACAAAATTCAGCTTTTATCAACTCATGAAATTTCATAGAAGGTTAATCTGTAGTACCTAGATTGTACATTTGTCATACATATAAAATGTCAAATCAGACATAATTTATATATGACTTGCAACTAAACATATAGATTAAAAGTAATTCACTTAGAATGTTGCACAATAACTCTATATGTATTTTTAGCTCGACTATTCGATAAGAATAAGTAGAGCTATTGCAGTCACGTCGGCGTCTGCGTAACCACTTATGTTAAAGTTTTTGTAATAGTTCAAATATTTTCAAAGTCCATTGACATATGGCTTTGAAACTTTGCACACTTGTTCACCATCATGACCCCAACCAGTAGACAGGAGGAGGTAACTCTATCAAGCATTTTGACAGAATTATGCCCCTTTTTCGACTTAGAATTTACGTTAAAGTTTTTGTAATAGTTCAAATATTTTCAAAGTCCATTGACATATGGCTTTGAAACTTTGCACACTTGTTCACCATCATGACCCCAACCTGTAGACAGGAGGAGGTAACTCTATCAAGCATTTTGACAGAATTATGCCCCTTTTTCGACTTAGAATTTACGTTAAAGTTTTTGTAATAGTTCAAATATTTTCAAAGTCCATTGACATATGGCTTTGAAACTTTGCACACTTGTTCAACATCATGACCCCAACCTGTAGACAGGAGGAGGTAACCCTATCAAGCATTTTGACAGAATTATGCCCCTTTTTCGACGTAGAATTTATGTTAAAGTTTTTGTAATAGTTCAAATATTTTCAAAGTCCATTGACATATGGCTTTGAAACTTTGCACACTTGTTCAACATCATGACCCCAATCTGTAAACAGTAGGAGGTAACTCTATCAAGCATTTTGACAGAATTAAGCCCCTTTTTCGACTTAGAATTTACGTTAAAGTTTTTGTAATAGTTCAAATATTTTCAAAGTCCATTGACATATGGCTTTGAAACTTTGCACACTTGTTCACCATCATGACCCCAACCTGTAAACAGGAGGAGGTAACTGTATCAAGCATTTTTTTTACTATCAAGCACTAAGAATAGTCGAGCGTTGCTGTCCTACCGACAGCTCTTGTTGTTATTATTGCTATGGTGTTACACAGTAAATTAATATTTTATATTGACATTTATTTCAGGGATTTGGACCACCCAAACATCATAAAACTTTTGGGACAATGTACAGAGACCACACCATTCTTAACAATAGCAGAATATCCTCCAATGGTATTTATGTTCCATAACATAATTTAATTATTTGAATTTATTTGATCATTATATTTATATATGATATACTGGGAGAGCAAACCTTCTAACATAAGCTTTGCTATCTTGTGTCACACTTTTAGTTTTTTGTACCACCCCATTTCAATTCCTATTAAGATACTACTGTGAAATATTTGTTGATAATAATCATCCCAACTTCCATGCAAGAGGACATAACTCAGTCTTGTATAGTAACAAAATTATGCCCCTTTTTTACTTGGAATTTCGGGTATTTTTTTTTGGTACCATACTTTATCCTTTAGATGTTGCCTTGAAACTTTGAAGTTCATAATTGAATGAGTCATAAATCTTTGTCACATATCACACAGCTTGAGTTACATAGTTTGGAAACTTTCAAGGTTTTGTAAAAGATGTTGTAGTTAATCACAGATACAATTACAATTTATTCTGTTTAAAATTCTTAATTAAATGAAAAATAATTCATTACAGGGAGATCTTAAATCATACTTATTGACCAACAAGACAGGACCATTTATACAGTTAGCTATAGATGCTGCCAAAGCACTGTCCTATATGCACAAACATTCCTATATACACCAGTAAGTACTGTTTATTATCATCTAGATAAGAATTTAAGTTATTTAAAGAAGTATATACAAGTGACCTTGGTATAATTTGGAATTTGAAATGTTTGAAGATGATATAAATAGTCAACATTCTGTGAACTAAATAAGAAATTAATGATATGAACAACAGGTCATCTGGTTGTAATTTGTTTATGCATTATTGCCCATTCCTTCATAAAACCAGTATGCATTAACTGAAAAGAAAACATGCATTTACAAATAAAATGATTGCTAGTTGTTGTTGTAATGTTAATATGCATGACTCAGGCTGTAATGTATTGAAGGGATTCTGCAGATGTGAATGCATGAAAAGAAGTGCATTAACCCTCGTGTATAAGACATTTTTTATTATTAGTCCCCTACCGGTTTACCGGAGGGGACTTTAGGTTTACCCTCCGTCCGTCTGTCCATCCGTCAGTCCGTCCGTCCACAAAACTGGATCCCGCGATAACGCAAAAATTACTGAAAATATTTTGATGATATGATATATGGATAGATTGCAGTATGGAGATTATGCACGTCTTTTTCTTTTCTTCCTATGTTGAAAATTCTGGTTGCTATGGCAACAAATAGACTGAAAATATGGCAAATTTTACACATAACCTGGATCCAGTGATAACGCAAAAAGTACTGAAAATATTTTTATGAAACTTGAAATATGGGTAGATGGCAGTCTGGAGATTATGCACATTCTTTTCTTTTCTTCCTATGTTGAAAATTCTGGTTGCTATGGCAACAAATAGACTGAATTTCAAGATTTCTGATTCTAGTTTTTACGTTTTTTCACTATAAGTTCTTTATTTCTTAAGGTATTTTCTTCAAACTTTAAATATAAGTTTCTAGTCATCAACCACATCATATGTGACAAGGTTTACAACTCTAGCACAAAATTTATCAGAATTTCCTCCCTTGAACTTAGAATTTTCATGAAAAAAATATTGTTTTTTTTAACTTTCTTTTACTTCAAATTCAAAATAAACATTCATTATCAACACCTTCATTACTAATTGTTCTTTGTTACACTCACATCGTGTATGACGTCTTGCATCTTTATTTCAAGAGTTATCTCCTTTTTAAGAATTTTGCTTTTAAAAATGTTATATTTTGATAACAGGGATGTTTAAAAAAATAACTTTAGAGTGTCCTTCAGTCCATCTGTCTGTCTGTACATAAAAACTGTTTCCTGTGATCACTTTTAAAGAACTTTTTCAACAAATTTACTTAAAATAGAGACATAAGTGAATGGCCAATGGCCCTTCAGAATGTTGCTGGGGTTCTAACCGGTAGGGGACTTATGGATTGCTTGCAATACTATGATAATTGCTTGTTTTTCAGTGATTTTGCTGCTAGAAACTGTCTGTTGATGTCAGATTTAACGCTCAAAGTTGGTGATTATGGCATTGGAGAGGACTTGTACAGGGTAAAATCATTACAATTGTCTGGTGGTTTTGCATTTGTAGAATTTTGTTACTGAAACTGTTAGAGACTCACTATTTATACAGACAATTTATCATATAAATATTTTATGAAGTAAAATGAGCTAATTAAACTCTCTTGAATCAGAATTATTTGAGAGATGTGAAATAGAATTCATCCAAGGTTTACTGTTGCTGATGACACACAGTTATACAAAACATGTTAAACAGAATATCATAATCTAGAAAATTTAACAAGCAAAATGCTGTACTTTTTACTTCTTTTGTATATTTAAAGAAACACTATTTGTCAGCTTCGTTGTAGGGTCTAGGTATTGAAACATCTAAAAAACACATTTGTCTAAAAAGAAAATTGCAAAATTTTATAATGTATTGTAAAAGCATTTTTTATCGAGGATATTATTACATATGATTATAATTACAGGAAGATTATTATGACACTGGGAGAGATTTGTTGCCAATACGCTGGATGTCTCCAGAGTCTCTCGAAGTTAAACAAGGTGTATGGCAGCTCAAAGAGTTCACTATACAATCTAATGTCTGGTCTGTTCAACGTTTATAAATCCATTTATTGCTTGCTTGTTTTAAAATATAAATAAATATATTTTAGCATTGAAAATAGGTTTTAATTTTCACTTTTTTTATCCCTCTCTGAAATTAATGGAATTTGATAGAAGTTACTTTAAATCTGTGTAGAAAAATTGAGTTAGCTTTTTCTGGTTAGAATTTTTATGCAATGGTGGCCAGGAAGAGAATTATTTACAGGAAAAAAAACATATATTCCTCAAGTTATTTTGCAGTTTTTATGCCACCGCAGCATCTGCGATGCGGTGGCATATAGCGATTCACCTGTGTGTGTGTTTGTTTGTGTGTGTGTGTGATATATAGATTATATAGTGAACTTAAAAAATCTTCTTGTGAAAAACCACTAGTCCAATTTCAACCAAACTTGGCAGGATTGATCCTTGGGTGAAGGCCTTCCAAAGTTGTTCAAAGAATTTCATTCCATGCAGAATTCTGGTTGCCATGGCAACCAAAAGGAATTATAAGAATAAATTTAAAAAATCTTCTTGTAAAGACCCAAAAGGCCTAGAGCTTAGATATTTTGCATAAGGCATTGTCTGGTAGACCTCTACCAAGATTGTTCAAATTATAGCCCTGGGGTCCAAATCGGCCCCGCCCCGGGGGTTATTGATTTTCACTATATGTACATATAGTAAAAACTTAAAATACCTTCTTGTCTGAAGGTACCAGGCTTAGAGGTTTGATATTTGGTATGTGTTATTATCTATAGGTACTCTACCAAAGTTGTTCAAATTTTGCCTCTAGTGTCAAAATTAGCCCTGCCCCGGGGGTCATAGGTTTTCCTCATATGTATATAGTAAAGACTAAAAAATCATCTCTAAATTGACAAAGGCTAGAGGTTAGATATTTTGCATGAAACATCATGTAGTGAACCTCTAGCAAGATTGTTCAAATTATAGCCCTGGGGTCAAAATTGGCCCCACCCCCGGGGGTCATTGATTTTCACTATGTACATATAGTAAAAAATTAAAAAATCTTATTGTCTGAAGGTACAAGGCTTAGAGCTTTGATATTTGGTATATGATATCATCTATAGGTACTCTACCAAAGTTGTTCAAATTTTGCCTTTAGTGTCAAAACTAGCCCTGCCCGGGGTCATAGGTTTTCTTTACATGTATATAGTAAAAACTTTAAAAAATCACCTTCTCGAATTGACAAAGGCTAGAGGTGAGACATTTTGCAGTAAACATTGTGTAGTGAAACTTTAGCAAGATTATTCAAATTAAAGCCCTTGGGTCAAAACAAAACAAAAATTGTTTCTACATTACTATTTTAGTGTTGTATTTATGCGGTGGCATAGCATTTTTTACAAATGCAATCTTGTTTTGTTACAATTCAAGTATATTATTGCTTGTGTTCATATTTCAGGTCATTGAGTGTTTTGTTATGGGAGATTGTATGTGGAGGTAGAAGACCTTACATAAATCTTCGTGATGAAGATGTTTTACAGAAGGTTATACGTGATGGAACAGCCAAGTTACCATGTCCCAGTGCTGATGTACCACTTCATGACAGATGGTATGAAACCTATATTTTACATGTGTACTATGATACCTATATTTTACATGTGTACTATGATACCTATATTTTACATGTGTACTATGATACCTATATTTTACATGTGTACTATGATACCTATATTTTACATGTGTACTATGATACCTATATTTTACAGATGTATTGAGCTAAATCACATACGGCTGTGGGTTTTCTTTACTGTAAATTTTATTTGAAGGGCTTTTGTCTCACCTGTTAATATCTTTTGAAAGAGCTTTTGTCCCACCTTTAAATTTAATTAGAGAATATTTGTCCAACCTTCAAACTTCATTGGAGGGTTTTTTTCCACTCTGTAATTTTTAGATGGATGGCTTTTGAAATTTTGAGTATCCTATTGTTTACTTTGCAAATTATTGTAGCTAGTGTAAGAAGTCAGGTATTTCACTCTTGATATAGACATAAAACTTAACAGAAGAGAGTTTCATATATAAGCTTTAAACCAAAACTATAACGTTTAAATGATAAGTAGTAATAGTAGAAATGTGCATTTATTGTTGATAAAAAAAAGCAACTGATTGATCGACAACCACTGAACAGAGAAAACATTAAATCAAGTTATTTTCTGGGTGGTTGTTCAGCTTTTGTAATCGGCAACAAGTATGATTAATATAAAACAAGATGGAAAGAGAGGGTTTAAGAGATAATTATAATGTATGCCTTCAAAGATTGCTAAATTGTATGCTTTATTATTTAAATTGTTATCTGTATTTATCCAGGTTTGAGATAATGGAAATGTGTTGGCAGGAAATTGATGATAGACCCACAACAGATGACATTTTAGCATTCCTGCAGCAAATTGAGGAGGAATTGACATCAGAGTCACATGACCAAACAGCTGTTACATCTAGTGAACCTTTAACCCAGACTGGTCCTCAGTCACCAACATCATTTGATTCCAAGTTTGTCATGTCTAAAAATGTTAACCAGTCTAATCAGCATGTGGCAGAAGTTTTAGTTCACAGAGTTGATGATAGTGGACAAAGACTTGGTTTTGATGACGATTTTTCAAAATCTGTTAAAATCCAGAAAAACAAAAATGGTGGATTTGAAGACGATTTTATCCATGTTGAAGAAAATGCCAATGACACTTCTTACCTCTCACAAAATGATTCCATATTAGCATACGGGGGTAATAATTCTGAAATAGACAAAGACATTTTTTCACCTGATCAAAATTTGAACCTACAACACCCACCAGTTCCTGTTGGTATGAGTACACCAAGTAAATATTTAACAAATGGAAAGACGAATCTATCGGAGGGCTATAATACTGCAATGAGCAACACTACAGCGCTCAATTCTAAATATGTTACTGCCCAAGATGGCAATTTGCATGTATCTGCTTTTAATCCAGACTTAGTTAGATCTAACAGTCAAAGCATTTCACCTTTCAATCCAGACTTTATCAGATCTGATAATAGAAGTAAACAATCTTCCAAACAAATCTTTGCGGAGAAATCGGATCATCAATCTAGTGATGATGGATATAGAACAGGAATGAGCAACTCAGCTCCTGATATAGTGTTAAATAATCATAGTGATACCGGTTTGTCGAAACAAAAAGACGATATATCTAATGATAATGATTTAAATGAAGATTTGGATGAGGTACAACCATATACTCGTCTAAGTCCAAAATTTTCAGATTTAGAGACTGAGAAAGCTAAAGAAATTTATATGTCGAAAGGTGCTGGTCTGCCAACCTCTATAGTTCACAAGTCAAGATCTCTCGGAACCATTCCAGAAGATGGAATTCCTTCAGATAATACCTCTCAAAGTGGCGTAGTGTTTGATGATCCAGAATCTGACATTGGCATGAACTTTGAGTGGGATGATTATGAAGGTGAACAATTGGTTGGTCATGTTCGTCATATGTCAGATGAGTCTGTTAGTAGTACACGATCCCCTCGTCATGTTGAGGTGGAAGAATGGCCATTTGACCAGGACTCGAGCAGTGAAAGTCATTCTAAGCCAGGAAGTATAGCCAGTGAAAGTGATGCTGAGGTAACACGATTGTCCATGGAATCCAACACCAGCATAGATACACGTGCTCGAATAGCTAGCATACTTACTAACCGCTTAAATTCTCTTATTAAACAAACTAATTCACCTCATTCTGGTCAGGGCATGTTTTACTCATTTTCTAATTATGATAATGATCTTGATTCCCCAGAGCATGCATTTACTGATACAGATCATCCTTTAGGTAAAGCATCTGTTTATCCAGATGAAGAAGCTGTTCTGAGCATGCCCAGTGGAAATCAGTCAAGGGAGGCAATTGAACTGTCAGATGAAAGTCTTTCACAGGGGCAGGTAATTATTCACTTTTTCTCTAGATCTTTTCATATTGTATTTGAATGACAACATGTATATTATTTTGTTTCAATGTCTTTCACTTCTGCAATGCTTTATAAGATTTCTTATTAATCATGTTTTTATTAACACAAATTTGCATTTATTAATTTGCATGTATACAAACAAAGAAGTTACATATTGTTTGTATTACACACAATTTTTGTGTAGAAGATAATGTAAAAAAAAAAAATTGAGCACAGTTTTAGATGTCCTTCAGTTTGATTTCATTAGTATAGTTTTTAAGTTATTATGATTTGCTTTTGTTCAGTTAATTTTTGTATGCTGTAATGTAATATGAACTGTGTTTTATTTTTTATTTTCATGTATTATGTAAGTATTAAGTGAAGATTTGAATGCTGTTATGCTAAACATATTTTGCAAGCCGAATCTTGTCTCTGTTGTAGAGTTTTACAATACAAGCCTTAATAAATTTAAGATTGGCAAAAAATCATTGACAAGAAAAAAATATGAGTCCTATTAACTATTATCTTTCTTTTGGCATTCAGAAATTTATGTACAATTAAAAGGTATATAACTTTCTCAATTTCAATCATTGATTGTCATCTCTAGCAATCATAATGTATTTTTGATTGAAAGATAAAATATTTCTTTCATCCTTATAAAGTTTGAGTATTTAATGTATAAAGTTAAGTTTTAATACTTATTTAAGTATTTTAAAACTCTACTTGTAACATTAGAATATTATAAATCAGTGTTAGAAAGCACTCTTTACTTGGCCTATAAATCATGTTTCTTTAGAAAGTTGGGTCTCAGCAAGTTAATACATGTACCTAACTTTATTAAAATTTGAATCAATTTAAAAAATCTTTTGAACCAAAAGCATGAATATTTTAAAAATATATGCTATATGTTTATATATAGATCTTATATAATAAATTATAATTTAGCATGTGAACAGTGCTTTGATATCCTTTTCATCTGTTATATGTTAACATTCATTTACTAGTTAATTGTTTTATATGCATCGTACATATCGGTACACTATTATTATATCATACTCGTTAAATAATTATATATTTTCTATATACCAGACTTCAGACTTACTTGGTTTTGATTGTCTTATCGTAACAAGACTTTCTTAGTAACATACTAGTAACTAACACTTGAATGTACTCTAGTTCTACATGTTATATTCCTATAAACAGTGGTTGTATATAACGATAAACCTTTAGTATTTCATTAGGCCATAGAATGTGATTTTTATAAGACCATAGTACCAATCTTTGAAACTAAAACTTAATTCAAGTTATTGCTCCAGAAAGCTCTGTCAGTTAACTATACTATTTTACTATAATGTTTAACACAGGATTTTGAATGGGATATATGTAAGTTTGCTCATTCTTCTCATGGGAAAAAGGATTTGCTTCTAAATTAGATTTATAGCTTAATTTGATTGGAAGGATCTTAGAATATCATTTTATGTTTAAAAATGCCTAATTTGATTGGAAGGATCTTGGAATATCATTTTATGTTTAAAAATGCTTAATTTGATTGGAAGGATCTTGGAATATCATTTTATGTTTAAAAATGCCTTTGGGTGTTTAGGCTTAAGAAAGTATTTGGTTATTTGCTTAGTTTATTTTGATCCATTAGCTTGTTGATCTTGTTCTGCATTGTTCACTATTCAGCCAGTATATATTTTTTCCCAAAAAATGATGAATGGTTTTATTAGTATCTGGATTTAAAAGGGACAAACCCATTTAAGATAGTTATCATGGGAAGGGTTAATTGTTGTTTAAAACTTAGTGCTTTTCAATAAATTGTCTACCTAGATCAGCCAAGGTTTCAAACAAGGCAACTGACATTTGATTAATGTGAATCTCATACAAAATGATAACTGTATGTTAACAGCAAAAAAGCAGTGTATTGATTTCAAGAAAGTATTGAAATGCCTAGTGATTCTTCAGTTAAATAGACTTGAATAAAATATGTATATGATCTTATCCATCATATAGTTGAATATCATTGCAAGTTAATATTCCCTGTTCAGGTCAAAAGTCAAAGTCTCTAAAGTTCAAGCTATAAAAAAGTCAAATAATTTGGCATATTTCAGTGCTTTGAATTTTGCTACTTATCTTTTTCTTTTGATTTGTTCACAGCTTTGACTACTATTTTGTCTTAATGTTTGTTTTTATTGACCACTTTAACTTAGATAATCAGCTTTATGTTTATCAGCTTTAATATCCAATGTTTTGTGTAATGATATTTTAATGTTATTTAATTTAATGATGAAAGATTACTGGGAACCTTTTCTGGGCTATTTAATCAATTACCATTTTCCTGCTGAATTTGTGTAAAGGATTTTTACCCAGCTTTAAATGTGGAAAAGTTAAAGAGTTTAATGGGATGTCTGTATTAAAGTAATAAAGTTCAGTAGCCACTAGTATAAAGCCTGGTTAGACTTCACGGATGATCATACTGGCCTGGTTGTATACTGATGGTATAGGAAAGTCACTGTAGTGTTCAATATAATCCTATACAATGATATATAAATTCTGGTACAAAGATACAATACTCGGTATTATAGGGGCATATTTTATCCTTTCATTTAGTTGTTACCTGGGAGCTTTGTGTTTTGTTTGTTTTCAATATTTATAAGAAGAATTACTAGAAATCAGAATTGTGATATACTGATTGTAACTGAGTTGATTATCACTAAAATTGGAAAACACTGAAATTTAAGTATTCATTTGTTTAATTAAGGATGTGTTAATTGAATATATCAGTACAATTAGCTATTTTAATCCATGATAATATATAATAGTATAATAATACAGTTTAGTTTAAGTTATAAAAACTTTAATTTTTATATTGTTTATATGCATACATATTGAATTGGCTATTTTAAAACTATTATTTATGCTAATGATAAAATTATATAGACAGTTTAACATGTAGTTCGAGATAATCCATGTATTTTATTTACATGAAGTGTAAATATTACATTTAAAATCCTTTATATATTTTCTAATGTCAAGTATATTTTATATGATAAAATTTAATTACAATAAGTTTATTTAAAGTTTGATTATCTGACATTGTAAAATTTTCACTTATAATATTGCATTGATTTTTACAAACATTTACCATACAGATATTTACACCATGAATTATTTACATATATTTCAGGAAGGGCAGTTGATAAAGGATGATTTAGATAAAATAGCAACATCAGTTCTCGGAAAAGAAGAATTACCAGAAGTGTTTGTTAGTGAACCCAGTGATCAAATGTTACCTTCTACAATAACAGATGTTGTGGCATAAATCTTCCAAATATGTGTGTTTATATGATTCCAGTTTTAAGAAGCCATATTTGACATTATTCATTTCCCTAATTACAGTAATCTCCATCAAGATCTTGTTTAATTATTAGTTGTAATTTTTGCTCACCATAGTCGTAAAGGAGAGATGGAAATCTGAGAGGGAGTACAGTTAATGATTGAATGTATGAATTTTTATGAATGATTGAATTTATGGTACATGCACTTCATTAAATAACTGTTATGCTTACAAGTGTATGTGGGCATAAGAAATTAGTAAATCGATATTACAGGAATGATATTAAGCGTGACTATATATCCATGATGTCACAAGTATAAAAGCTGCAGTATTTTGCTGTTGAATGTCTACTTGTTCCAGCATGTACATCTACACATTTTCCTACAAAAATAGGAGCATAAATCTACATTTTATTGTTAGGTACAATAAGGGCCTCGATTTTCATCTTGCCTCAAAATAACAGAAACATTTCCAGGAGTGACAATTCATTTAACTTAATTGCCTTAAGATGGAGATAAATAGGGCTAATGTACAAATTTCGGTCTTAAATTGCTTTTGCTTGAAAAAAAAATAATTGTGGAACAAACATAATATTATTTTTGATACTTCCATATCTAGATAGGGATTAGGTTATACAGTATATTAACTTTATTAGAGTATCCATTATGACACTAATATATCATCTTACTAACTGTTATTTTGTCAGCATCTATTGTGAAGATAGTTATTTAATATATTTTGAGGAAGAGAAATGGTTGAAAACAATTTTAGAATTAAAACATATATACAATGTAATGTTATTACACATGCAGGGTTTGATATATATGTTAATTTACCTGTAACCACAATACAACAGGTACAGAGGTGGTTGTGTAACTGGATTATTGTATTGGTGCCTACTACATCCAGTCAGCTGTTTGGTGCATGAAACAATGTGTATTACAGGGACTTGTCATTAAATATGCCATTTACATATAGGAAAACATCTGTCAATTCATGATGAATTCAATTCCTTATTCTAAGCATTATAACTTAAATATTATTTCATAGATCATCTCAACACAAATATTTACTAATGCAAATTTATGAAAGTTTGTAGCAACAGCAGGTTCTAGTATTTCGGATATTTTTTATTGCTAGAAAATGTGTGTTTGGACAAACACTTCATTCAGACTTTAAGTATTTCTTGTTGCTGAAACATATTGGCAAAGAGTTCATTCTTGTTGGAATTGAAAAAAATCATTGTACATGTACTTATTTAAATTGCTGTTAGAAAAGAAAATAAACTTTTAAGTTTTAACAAACAAAAATGTATTGTAGTTTTTGTAGGGTTATATATTACATAGGATATGGCATAGTCTCTGTAGTACCTTTGATTTAACAAATAATTATTCAATGAGAATTACTATTGTGATAAAGAACATGTTATTTTACATTTGCATTTTATAAATATTTTGTAATCTATAATCCATATTTTTTGCTGTAATTTAATAGTTCTGTTCCTCTCTTACTTTGATCAAACTTTTTTTACATATTGATAAATAGTGAAAGATTTGTAGAGGTAAAAGGTTATTAGTTTAGGGAAAGATATTATTTGATTGGAAAAATGAAAAAGAAAACACCTATTTTTTTCTTCACAGTAGGCCTAGTGTGTAGATTTAAGGTATTTAGATTAAAATAAGATTTAAGAATCAGGATGAATAATTTATTCACTTGATAGATTTAGACAAATCATAAATTTAACTTTCATCCTTGTTTAGCATTTCGAATATCTTAATATTTACCTGTACTTCATCAGAGACTCATATAAGGACTTAACATGTGCAAACTACACTGTTATTTTGATAGCTTGTAAAATAAAGCTTCATATTTAGTGTAAATTTTTTAATGAATTGTAATTGGAAAAATTGAAATAACTATTTGATAAGGAAGCAAAATATTTACTTAAAGAGAAAAGCTTTGGAGTTAATAAATGCAAGCACATATGAAATGTTTTATATGTAATAAGCTAAGCTTCTTAAACCTTTTTTTGTTGTTGATGATTTCAGTGTTAAACATAAGCTGCAATATTGTTATCTACAGACTATGTGAGCACATATTGCCTTATTGTCTGCTTTCATGATCGTTGAATGTCTGTTGTGTGGCCAACATGTCTGTCCTTTATATCTCTTAACCCATATCACACTAATATTATATTCACTCTTATTAATAAATTACAAATTTTAAGGTTTTGAGGTGGGAACAACACCAGGTCATATTTATTTGAACTACCAGTTTTGGATAAGATTCATCAGATTATGGTTTTTAACTTTTATTTATAAATTGTATCCAGAATATCAAGTATGTAAGAACATGAATTATATTGGACAGATTTATTAATTAGTAAATCTCTACATATCAAAAAGTTCCTTAAAAGAATATTAACAGTTCATAATAAGTAAAAGGACTCTTGGTGGGCAATATAGAGCCTTTATGCTCTTATCAGTTTTGTATTGTTAAAAAGTGTATGTAAGTAATTTTTGCTTCCTGTATATGTTGCGCAATAAATGATCAATTTATTTTTGTTAGTAAAAGTTGAAAAAAAAATGTTCAGTTGTAGTTTGGATGTAAATATATAATGAATAAAATATAAGTTTAGATATTTATATAATTATAATATATAAATGGTATATTTAACATAATTCTAGTCACAAGTTTACTTACAGGTTAAAGGTTGTTAAATGTCAGGCAAGAAGATATTATTTCAAAATTCTTTTTTGTGATTTTGTTGATATTTCGGTTGGTGTATGTTAAGTACCTAATTTTAAAGGAGAAAGTTCGGGTGAACACTATTTAAATATGCTAAAAAGATTTGTCTTCAAGAAATACAGATTAATTTTCGAAGGAGTATGTGTGGACTATAGGTCTCTTTGTGAAATATGGGAATTGTTCATATTTGACAGACTATATTTATCCTCAAAACTTTGTCCTCAAAACTACACTTTTGGTCAGTTAAGGTAAATTTCGATTTTTTCAGAGGTCATTTTCAGCATCTCTAAAAAAGTTTTTCTTTCATATCTTTTTGAAAGTGGTTTCCATAATTATTTATGTCAATAGAAATTTATGTCCAGTTTAAGGTTTTATAATATTATACTAGTGATGTCATTTAAGAAAAGGGGAAAATATGAAATATTGCTGTCCTTGCCTGAACAATTTTGTTTTTGGAATTATTACTTTTAATTATTTTGTATGGCATAAATTGTATAGGATCTATGTTATACTGCCCTAATTTTCAAAGGCAAAAAGGTAAAAATTTAGTTTTTAAAAAAAAGTATATTTTGTATATATTGTACTCATTTGTTTAATTTGTAAAGGAAAAAAAACAGATTTTTTTGTTAGGAGTAGGATTTTTTATAGATGCACATTCCTTTGAGAAGTATAGGAGATACTCATTTGATTCTGTAAAACTGTATCATTATCAGGAGAAATACAAGGCAATAGTTTTATAGGAAAATATTAATATAAACTTAATATCATATCAATGTTTCATTGTTTTGATGTTTGTTTCCCTTTCAATTGAATAGCTTTGTTTTTCTAATGAATATTTAGGTCAAATTTTTATTATCAGACATGTAAAATAAGTAAAATTACTTATATTTATTTATTTTTCCAAAACTAAATCATAGTTAATCAATGCTCATTTTGTGAAATTACCAGCAATGTCATTAATGATGGTTATACATTGTTTACTGTTATTTCATTAAACAATATGATTTTATGTTACCCAGGCCTATTTGTGTGTTTCTATGTTTTGTTAGTTTATTTTTCTGATATTTTTCACCTATGATGTTCATATACATTTTATACATTTGATAAGCTAACAGGTTTAGTTTAATAGAATATAGGGCTTTAGAATTAGATAAATGTTTTAATATTGAAATCCAAACAAAAAACTTATCCCCAAATCAGAGATTAAGTTATCATATCATTTTTAGCTTGACTGTTTCGAAGAAATAGTTGAGCTATTATGATTGCTGGTCGTCCTTGCTGTCATCTTGCATAAACTTAAGTGTTTTTCAAACATTTTGAAAGTTTTAAACATGAAACTCTGTATGACAAGGTTCTGAAATCCATATTTTTGAAGTTATGTCCGTTTAAAGTTATATTATTTTTAAAAATAGGTTATTGATAGTGGTTGCCCTACACAGATGAGTGTTAACACAGCATACAGTGCTCTTGTTTTTTACGAAGCTTTAATCAGGTAACATGCAGAGACAGGCAGGTTGCTAGGTTACATCATTTTGCTACTTGTAGCCATGATAAACATTTTACCCATGATGCTCTTATTTACTTATTGATGAAAATATGACAATTGATTTATCTCTTAAATCTAAATAGAAGGAAAAATTTTGGAGTTTCTTTGTTTTTTAGTTAAATAGTCAAAAAGTGATGTTATTTCTTTAAGTGTTTACTAAAAGTATTGAGATCTTTCAGATTGATGTGCAATAAAGTGACTGACCAGATGTAGAAATTGTAATTTAGAAAGGAACAAACTGTAACAGGTTTTGATTTCAATCAGAAAAAGCACAGATACTTTATCATATCTTAAGGTTTTTTTTATTGTTGTAATGTTCTTATTATGTATAAGCAGATAATGGATTATGTTTTTGATAGCTTGAAGTATGTTTTCTTTATTATTATATAAGTGTAGGAAGTATCCATGTGTTGAAACTGAGGTATACAAAAGGTATAGTGTGACACCAACACATCCCAATTAATATACTGTTACAGTCATACTGAATACATTGTCATGCACCTGTCCTTTGAATATGGAATTGTCCATTGAGATATTTCAATGTAAAATTTTGAAATTGAGTAGCTATTAGCATAAAACCAGGGAAATGAAAATCTGACTTGGGGTTATACTTGGGTTTTGGCAAGTTATTGTTAATGCCTAGTTAAATTGACTACCGGTACTTGTTTTCACCAGATGGTTACTAGTCTTGTATGTTATCTCTGTTAACTGTTATATTATCAGTTGTTGTTTTACTTGAACATGATTGCTAGGCTAATGTCTATTTACTAGGTTCAGTTCTAGTGGCTAGGCTGAGTTCTAGTTACTTGGTTGAGTTCTAGTAGCAGCTAGCTAGGCTTAGTTATAGTGACAAGTCTTTTTAGTTGCTAGGCTGAGTTCTAGTAGCAAGGCTGTGCTCTAGTTGCTAGGCTGAGCTCTAGTTGCTAGGATGAGTTCTAGTTGCTAGGCTGAGCTCTAGTTGCTAGGATGAGTTCTAGTAGCTAGGCTGAGCTCTAGTTGCTAGGCTGAGCTCTAGTTGCTAGGATGAGTTCTAGTTGCTAGGCTGAGCTCTAGTTGCTAGGATGAGCTCTAGTAGCTAGTTCAGGATGATATATCTTCATAATATCTTCATAATATCTTCAAATATTTAGTAAATGTAACATGTAAATTGATCCAGTTAAAAACTGACACAAAAAAGCTTAAGTATGTCTCTGAGTATGGTATTATAAGAAAAAACAATTAAAAGCTAGCATTACTGTTTTGGTTTAATCTATTTTGATGTCTAGCATAACTCCATTTTCCTTTAGTTGGTTTTATCTAGTACAGCATGGCCTACAAAAAAAAATTATGTAGATTATTTTTTTTTGTTTTTTTTGTAAAATTTAAAATGTCTACAAATGGTTAAATAAAGTAGTCATATCAAATAATTGCTAGCTCTCTTTTGTCTCAGTTATCGTTTCAACACTCTTCATGTTGTATATTGTTCATATTTGGGAAAATGTTGCCAAAGTTATATCATCATTATATCAATGAGTATTATATTATAAATTTACAGAAAAAAAAAGAAACTTGTAAAATGTTGTTGTTATTTATTTAGAAGTGTTATAAAGGTGTACGGTACTAATAACTTGAAGCTTAAATGAAGTTTTTGATTGTTATAAGGCAGTCACATTTTCATTGAAATTAAAAATTCCCTTTCTCATACCTCTTGTCAATTGTTGTAATAGTCAACATTTGTGTATTGTACGTTCCTGGTATTCAATACCCTGAAAGAGTGCATATAATATCGCTTTATCAGTCCATCCCTAAACAAAACAGATCTAACTAGTTTGTTGATTTTGGTTTGTCATTTCATCATCATTTAAAGGTGAAAAAAGAACAAATCACTGCACTGGCTTAATTTTATGCCACGTAGGCATCTGGTTGTCATGTGTCATCCTCTGGCCAACCGCAACAAAATCAGAACAATAACTACTTGAGATAGGCTATGGTAAATGGAGGTTCTTTTTATATCACCTAAGCACAAAGTGCACAGTTATATCACCTTAGCACAAAGTGCACAGAGGCGAGCTTTTGTGATAGCAGTGTATCAGTCGTTCACAATTTCTTAACAAGAGGGCCATGATGGCCCTGAGGTCGCTCACCTGAATATAGGCCCCCGTGGCAGGGCCAGTTTAAACCCCAGGGCTTTTATTTGAACAAACTTGGAAGACACCCATTAGAAGATATTTCAAGATGTTAAGTTTTTACTACACACATATAATGAAAAACAATGACCCCCCCCCTCCCCCACTTTGGGCCAATTTTAACTTAAGGACTTTTATTTGAACAAACTTGTAGACACCCATAAGAAGCTGTTTCATGCTAAAAAACATCTTAGCTCTAGCTCAATGGGTTTTTTAAAAGAAGATTTTTAAGAAGCTGTTTCATGCTAAAAAACATCTTAGCTCTAGCTCAATGGGTTTTTTAAAAGAAGATTTTTTAAGTTTTTACTATACACATATAGTTGAAAACAATGACACCCCTGGGGCGGAGCCAGTTTTGACCCTAGGGCTTTTATTTAAGTAAACTTTGTAGACACTTACTAGAAGATGCTTCATGCTTAATATCTAAACTCTAGCTATTTGGGTTTTTTCAAAAAAGATTTTTAAGTTTTTGCTATACACATATAAGGAAAATCAATGACTCCAGGGGCGGGGCTAATTTTAACCCCAGGGCTTTTATTTGAACACACTTTGTAGACACTCGCTAGAAGATGTTTCATGCTTAATATCTAAACTCTAGCTATTTGGGTTTTTTCAAAGAAGATTTTTAAGTTTTTGCTATTCACATATAAGGAAAATCAATGACCCCCGGGCGGGGCCAATTTTGACCCCAGGGCTTTTATTTGAACAAACTTGGTAGACATCCATTAGAACATGTTTCATGCTAAATATCTTAGCTCTAGCTCTTTGAGTTCTTTAATAGAAGACTTTTAAGTTTTTACTATATGCATATAGGGAAAATCAATGACCCCCTGGGGCGGGGCCAATTATGACCCCAGGGATTTTATTTGAAAAAACTTGGAAGACACTCATTAGAAGATGTTTCATGCTAAATATCTTAGCTCTAGCTCTTTGGGTTCTTTAATAAAAGTTGTTTTTTTAAGTTTTTACTATATGCATATAGGGAAAATCAATGACCCCTTGGGGCGGGACCAATTATGACCCCAGGGATTTTATTTGAAAAAACTTGGAAGACACTCATTAGAAGATGTTTCATGCTAAATATCTTAGCTCTAGCTCTTTGGGTTCTTTAATAAAAGTTGTTTTTTTAAGTTTTTACTATATGCATATAGGGAAAATCAATGACCCCTTGGGGCGGGACCAATTATGACCCCAGGGATTTTATTTGAACAAACTTGGAAGACACTCATTAGAAGATGTTTCATGCTAAATATCTTAGCTCTAGCTCTTTGGGTTCTTTAATAAAAGTTTTTTTTTTAAAGTTTTTACTTTATGCATATAGGGAAAATCAATGACCCATTGGGGCGGGGCCAATTTTGACCCCAGGGCTTTTATATGAACAAACTTGGTAGACACTCACTAGAAGATGTTTCATGCCAAATATCTAAGCTCTAGCTCTTTGGGTTTTTTAAAAAGAAGATATTTAAAGTTTTTTTCTTTTGGTTGCCATGGCAACCAGAGTTCTGCATGGAATTAAATTCTTTGAACAATTTTTAAAGGTGACCACCAAAGGAACATTCCTGTGAGGTTTGGATGAAATTGGCTTAGTGGTTTATGAGGAGATGACATTTAAAGTAAAAGTTTACGGACGGACGGCCCGACGGACGGACGCCGGACGAAAAGCGATCACAAAAGCTCACCCTGTCACTTTGTGACAGGTGAGCTAAAAAACATCTAAACCACTTGATGGATTTGGTCAAACTTCACAGAAATGATCTTGAGGTTGTCTTCTGTAAAAGTTGTATAAATGGTTCCAGTCCGATACATAGGTCACAGGAGCTAAAAAAAAGACATTCAAGATGAAATCATCTCAGAAACTTCAATGACCAATGCTTAAATATTTGGCAAGAAGCATCACCTTGTGGTCCTCTACAAAAGTTTTAAAATCATGCTCCTGGAGACAAAAATAGCTCTGCAGTAGGGGTAACTTAGTTTACATGGGCTTATATAGGAAAATTAATTGAGGTCTTATGAAGCTACAATGCCCTGAGCTTAGATATTTTGCATGAAGCATTGCCAAGTGGACCTTAACAGAAGCCATAAACCTCCGAAAACCAGAATCCTCTGAAAACCTGATGATAAAAGTCCCATATTTCCTTTAATGTACATTGACTTTCTAAAAACTGTGTGAAACTACTAATACAAAACATGCATGAAAAATCCTCTTAAAACGAAACATAGAAATGTTTACACCTCAAATCATTTTGCAGGGCAGTAGCCATAACAAAGCGCTGATGTTGTACTTGGACGACAGTAAAACAGGTCTTCATGCCAAGTTGTGTGCCATCACAACCAACAACATACATGTACCTATGCCCGACACTGCCCAGATCCCACATCCTTGCAACAGTGCTCCGGAACAGTCCTAGGACACCTGCCAACGCCCACCTATCCCCCCTCTTTTCATCTCTTAGACATCAAGACACTGTCTTATTCGTAAGTGAACCATACCCAATGCTTTCTTTGAAATAAATGTTAGCATGGTGATGCACAAGCAGTTTGAAAATAACGGATGTGTACATGAAGGTATATGCCAATGGCGCACATTTTAAATGGGTTTCACTTTTCCGATGGATATCAAGCCAGTACAGGTTTAATAAGAAAAATATAACATACTAAGTACGATTGCATAATATCTTCTTTGAAGATATAAATATTTGCAGGGATGGCACATTGAAGAAGTAAAGGAAAAACCATGATATCAGTAAATTTTTATTTTTTCTGGAAAAAAAAAGAACCATCATACATGCATAACATGGCAATGTAACTTTATAGGCGTTGCAAGAATGGGCAGCAACACATGAAACATAACATACATATTAACATATTTGAACAACATGAAAAAAAAAATTGAAAACCAAGTAAATGAATTACATAAACCTTAACATTAATGCTATTAGATTATGGGGATTATTTTACTAAATTAAGATAATACATGAAAGAGGTGATGTGAGAATGTATGCAAAAATAATGATATTGTACTGGAAATATCAAAGCCATATCCAATAAGGGAAAAAAATGAATGCATGTCAACAGTTTGTTTTTGTTTTTTTTTGCCAAGGAAACAATGAAACAACAAGACATGGATTGTTGTGGTTTTATGATGAATATATAAGGGAAAATCTTCAACAAATAAATGTAAATAATGAATTTCTTAAATAACCTATGTTTGTAGATAACAGTATTGATATAAATGTGTTTGGAAATTTTGATGCAAAGAATATATACATATAGACCAATTAAAATTTTATATATTAAAACTTGAAAACGGTAACATGAAAAAAATAGAAACATGGAAATAAATAAAGAAAATGAAATGCCCTTCACATTGACAACAATTAATCGTGCAATATGTGAGGCACCCTACAGGCATGCATTACAAAAAGCAAACAAATTATAAGCTGGAAAACAATATTTACATCAGGTAGAAACACAACACAAAAATATAAAAAAATTGTCACTGAAAAAGCACATATGTACATTGACATGTATGTTTAACAATTGAATAGCAATGAACTCCCTTTAACTAAAAAATAAAATGCTTGTATTTAAAACAGACACATGCTTTTTAATGTTGGTGTTTTTGTATGAAAATAAACATGTATACCATGTTCAAAGCGAGTAGTTTTAAAGTTCTTAAAGACTGGTTCCTGACGGGAATTTTGCCGACATAGATAGTAGTTTAATAAAAAATAAACAAGTTTTTTCCCTGAAGGTAATCTTAGATTTTGCAAGTGTGGATTATTTATTTTGTCCAATTATTTCAGAATAAACGTCTTTTTTACTCTTACACTTTCCCTGCTAGAACTGCCCTTCAATGCATTAGCTGTTTAAACTATTATGCATTTGAATGCATATACAAAATGACAAAGAATTTGAAAATGTATTCACCACGCCATAAAAAATAAAGCATTGATATCAATAAAAATCCACGACATTTATGCCAAAACTTACTAAATATACATTCTGATCAACAGCTGTAACGTTTGTTAAAATAAGTGCCTTATTATAAAGAAGTTTGTTTGATACTAAATTTACAAGGGAAATTCTATGAAATGCTAGCATACAAAAAACATAAGATATTTTTAGTATCCTGTATTGAGAGCAAAGTGAATATGATTTTGTTTGTTGTTGAAAATTTCAATGAAATAGCATGAGTTTTGACCTTATTTTGAGTGGGTCTATATAATTTGTGCATGGCATGGAAATTTTTCTGAGCAGTTAAAATAAGAAGTTTGTTATATACTGTCTATGACCTCATTCTAACCATAAATAGCAAATAATGCTAAATTTATCAAGTCCTTGAAAAATAGATTGTATGAAAGGAATGTCTATGGCATTTTATAAATTGC